TGTCATACGCTCTAGAATTACAAAAGGAAAAACACTAGAATGAAAATGTCATACGCTCTAGAATTACAAAAGGAAAAACACTAGAATGAAAAGACATGACAAGGGTTTGGCTTGTCATGGGCATGCGGCCATGGGCAACATGCCCTGGACAAGCATGACCGTGACATCCTCCCCCACCTAATTGGCTGACGTCCCTGTCAACCGACTACTTTCGTACCTTGCGATGTGGGTGGCGGCGGAGTTCAGGTCTTCGGCGCGTTCCCAGCTTGTTTCCTCTATAGGGAGATTCTTCCATCTGACAAGGAATTCACGAATCGTCCGTACAGGTCTTCCTATCTTCCTAACCCTGTCGGCTAGGATCTTTTCCACTTCCTTTGTTTCTTTTTGCTTCAGATCGATGTTCGGTCTTGTGATTGCATTTCGTTGGTCGTCGTCTGGATCAGGGTGATAGGGCTTCAAGTTGCTCACATGAATGACGGGGTGGATTTTCATCCATGCGGGTAGTGCAACTCGGTAGGAGGTAGCCCCGATCTTTTTAAGGACTTCAACCGGGCCTTCATATTTACGAACTAGTCTCTGGTCCTTTCGGCTACGAAATCTGATCTGTTCTGGTCTCAGCTTGATAAGGACTTTAATCTCCTGCACGGAAATGAAGGGGGCGACGCTTCTTGTCCGCCCATTTCTTCATATGCTTGGAAGCCTTCTCTAAATATGCCCGGGCTATATCTGTCGTCTGCTTCCATTCTCTTGTAAAGTTGTGAGCTTGAGGGTTTTTTCCTGCATAAGGATGATCAATAATATGGGGTAAGGCCGGTTGTCGTCCACTTACAATTTCGAAGGGACTCTTCCCTGTAGACGAGCTTGTTTGACAATTGAAGCAAAATTGGGCGACATCTAACAATTGTATCCAGTTCTTTTGGCGAGCGTCGACGAAGTGACGTAAGTATTCTTCGAGCAAGCAATTGAACCGTTCTGTCTGTCCATCGGTTTGAGGGTGATAACTCGAGGAGATGTTTAAGGTTGTTCCCAAGAAAGCGAATAACTCAGCCCAGAATGTCCCAATGAATCTGCCATCCCTATCACTGATGATGCTCGACGGAATGCCCCATAGCTTTACAACGTGTTTGAAAAACAGTTGGGCTGTGAGTTCCGCCGAGCATAATTTGGGAGTGGGGATGAATGTCGCATATTTTGAGAACCGGTCTACAATAACCAAGATGACGTCATATTCCCCGACTTTTGGGAGGTGTGTTATGAAGTCCAGAGATATACTTTCCCAGGGTCTTGTTGGCACAGGTAGAGGTTCCAAGAGTCCAGAGACTTTGGCTTTCTCGACCTTATCCTGTTGGCAGATGAGGCACGTCTTGGTGTATTGCATGATGTCATCTCGCATGTTTGGCCAGAAGTACCCCTTCTTTATTAGGGCGTATGTTCTTTGCCACCCAGGGTGTCCGGCCCATAAGGTATCATGACATTCCTGAATGAGCTTCTTCCTCAGTTCCCCCGTTCTTGGGACGTACAATCTGTTTCCTTTGGTTATTAGGAGGTCCCCCTCAACCCAAAACTGCCGTTTCTTTCCAGCCTTAGCTAGTTCGACAACAGCTTTGGCCGATGGGTCTTTGTGTAAATGTTCCTTGATGATGTCGCGCATCGATCCATCGATCTTACTTGAATGAATATGGGCTAACATGCACAGGGCCGTATGTTCGCCCTTCCCACTCAGCGCGTCGGCTGCTTGATTACTCTTTCCTGCTTTGTGTTCGAACTTGAAGTCGAATTCGGCCAACGACTCCTGCCACCGGGCTTGTTTTGCTGTTAATTTTGGTTGATCAAAGAAGTGGCAAGTGGCACTGTTATCTGTCTTCACTACGAACTGTGATCCTAAGAGATACTGTCTCCAGACTCGAAGGCAATGGACTACAGCCAGCATT